TATCAGTACAAATAATAAAAGCTATGTATTTTATTTCCACCACCAAAAATGGGACTCAGATTGGGTACACGCCTGCAGGAAGCCTGAAAGAGAAAACTAAAAGAGGGAGAGAGAGAGAGAGAGAGGGAAAAAACGACTCCTCTGTTGAACATGCATGGTTGGCTGCAGTTCAGGAGAGAGTTATGTTGCCTGCCATGACCCATTCAATCCCTGCTGCCTCTGTCCTACACAGCACTGTAAAATAGGTCAGTGAGCGTCTGTATGTGAGTGTGTACGCACTGCTACAGATGTGTGTACAACAATGATTTAAGTACTGCCAACACACTCACATACAAACGCATTCAACACCAATGCCTTTACATCACAACGTAAAATAGGCCACAAGAAAGTTGTGCACTTTTGAAATGAAAGTAGGCCACCAGGAATAACTGCGTGTGTGTGTGCATGCGCATGTGTGTGTGCGAGAGAGATGAATCAGCTCCATGTTATGCAATGCTAAACCACCGTCGGGTCTCATTACCATATCTTGTGCCCTTGTGCTACAGGATGTAGCCTGTTGGAGTACGTGTGTGTGTGTGTGTGTGTATGTACTGAGAGTGATACCCTTTTGGCATCTGACTTTAACAATCCATCATCTGCCTGTTGAATTTTTCAGCCTGGTGAACCTTTACTTGTGTTCCGACTGTTTCTGCATGGAAGCTTAGTGAAAAATATTATGATTATCAGGTTTTTAGGGATATAAGTATTTAATTAGAAGTATTTACTTATTCTAAATAATTATATAAGTTACATTTTAAAAATCCCCTCCAGGCATGTATTAAGACATAGTATATACAAATAAATCTGTTTGGAACAATAATTTGTGTCTGTTATGTTTTTCTGCCAATCATCTTGACATTAAAATCTGTGAAAGGTATCAACTCCTATCTCATAAAAATTCCAGATCTGTGAATATGCAAATGTTCCTGCTGGACACAATATGTCTCCTACTTTACTGTAAAGTCCATTCTCAGTGTATGTGCACTGGTAGCTTCATGTTTCTACATCACACTGTACAAGTTGCATACTGGACCATGATTTTGCACAGTGAAGCTCAAATATCCAACTGCAGGAACAAGAAAAAAAGGCTAATTTTTAGGAAAAGCTGCCTGTCTCTCCTGTTGCTATTCAATAAAGGCAAAAATGTAATGTTCAGTAAAACATGGATATTGCACATTACTTAACACAACCAAAGAGGAGCTTCAGGCTATGTGATGTAATCATGATTCAGTCCAGTCCACAAGGTTTCCCACAAAGCTGTTGGAGAACTCTGACTCAGGTGTTATGAATCTCCCCTATTTTCCCGTAAAAAGATTTATGTGTTTATTACTAATATTTTGCTGACATCGGAGGAACATTAATGGTCAACACATTAGCTCAAGTGAGCAGTTTTAAAACCAAGCTGCCACATTGTTCCATAAATATTTAAACTGCAATATCACTGGAGATCAATAAAGTTAATTAAACACAGTGAGGAAGTAGCCTACCTGCCTCTGTAAGAAACTTTACAGGCAATAAGGGTTTATATATGTTGTTTCAAATAAAACCTTCATTCATCATTAGTGAAGGATGGCTGTTGTCTCTTATGCTAATTTAGTCTGCTTTGTCTTTTTTAGCTCTCAGCTCTTTTTTTAAATACATTTTTGGGGGCTTTTATTGCCTTTAATCAATAGTGATAGCTGAAGCGTGAGAGAAAAGGAGAGAGAGAGAGAGAGAGAGAGAGAGAGAGAGGGAGGATGACATGCAACAAAGGGCCACAGG